ATGGTGATGTAGAGAGGTCACTTAAAGGTCAACTGTCCTTTGGAAAAATTTTGTGTTTGCAAGTCAAGTTAGACAAGTACTGTACTGTCTGAAAAAGTGTACTTGCATTTGTTGTGGAATTCCAGTCACCTGCACTATGTCTTGTGTGCAATAACTGTGAGCATCAGAGTTGGCCAACAACTCTGTCAGGGTGAGGGCCTCTGATATGAATCACACTGTTGCTCCCTTAATTATTCATCCCATTTGCTGCTGATCTGGCCCTTTTTTTGGTCGTCTCGGTGTACACCGCAATGGGGTGCATAATTACTGCACGCACATGCATATACACATTTTGAGGAGATGAAGGAGAGTGGAAGGTTACATGTTCCATTTAGGTTGCATGCCTCAGGATTTCATTTTGTTTCACATGTTGTGTAGTTACATCCATTGTCCATTGGCCCATTTTCAAAGTCCTTCTCCCAAAACCTTACAAAAACACTTACTGTAAATGCTATCAAAGTCATAATGTGCACAATAGCCGATACCGGAACTGCTTCCTGGGACAACTTTGTACAGCACACACAGTCTTCCTGAGAAATGTAAGCTTATTTTTTATAAACATTTCTGTTGCACCCTAGTTGAGCTTTACCTCCATATAAAGTTTAGATTATCTGGATGAAATGTTAACTTCTTTACAATCAGCTGATCATTGGTAGTTTTGGCCTCTTTATCTCAGCAATTCATTTGGTCAGAATGATGTAATCATAACAAAGAGCAATGGCTGCTGAGAGTATGACAACAAGACCAAAGTTGTAATAAATCCTCCAAAATTACTCATAAAAATTTATATGCACCCCATATCTGGGGAGAATCATTAGACAAAAACGTGTGTTGATAATGAAGGTGCAAGGCTGGATTAATAATTAGCAAAATGGGCCACTGCCACTTCAGGGCCCTAGACCTCCAGGGGCTCGAAAAGCCCCAAGTTCATTGTGTGGCAACTTTATTATACTAATTTGATTAATCATAAATTTATATGTGAATGCTATAAAAGAACCATTTAAGCACGATATCAACTGGCATTATATAAAGGCCTGTTTATTTATTTTTTTTTACCATATCTCTGTCTTGACAAAGGGCCCTGTGTCAAAATCTAGTTTTCAGACCTACATTTAAAGGAGCTGTTCAGCATTTCAATACAACAGCAAACAACTATTTGCTATGTGAAGATATAGTGGAGTAATGGCATTCTGAGCAGAGAACAGAGAGATGACATTTTTTGTAGACCAAATTGAAATAAGCATTGCCTAAATACCTTTACAAAAAGCCAATGGGATTTTTCAGTATCAATCCATATAGTTGCATGGCTTCGACGTCACTACCACAACGAGGCTATAAAAGCTGCGTTCAGCATGATTGACCTTTAATGTCCCTGACAACCTCAACAGTCTCAGTTAGCCACTTGTTAGCAATCGCCTTTTAAGGCATTTAAAAGCTTCAAAAATCACAAGTGCGATATTAACAGGGCTGTACCCGACTGAGAATTATGTCAGTCAAATCTGATTTGTCTGTTCAATACAAATATTTGATGATTGTTTTTTTTCTCTTCCATATAAAGTTTTAAAGTTCGAACAGGTGATAGTGACATTCACGCAATATAGTAAACAAGTAACTACGCTAGCAACACACCGGAAATGTGCAACATTTTTTGTTTGATATCAAACAAAAGCTAAAGATTGTATTGCATTAAGATGCTACGAACTATAAATTCACCACTTCAGGCAGAGGAGCGAAGATAAAGTCATCTTAAAACTTTACAGTGCAGAGTCTCTCCTCCTCTGTGCCACTGCATCATGTCAGCATGTCCCTGTACCAAGGAGCAGGGGCGGGAATCACCAATAGGATCCACAATACGATATTATCACGGTACTTAAGTGACTATACAATATTATAGCGATTTTAAATGTAAATAGATTTTTAATGTTGCGATATGCTGAGTAATATGATAAAATATATTGCGATATACTGTGATGTATTACCTTGTTTCAGCTGTAAACCATAACCCCAAAGGACAACTTAGTCGAGTTGTCCAAGTTCATCTCACCTCAGCCATTTTTTTTTTGCAGCAAAATGTATCTCATGGACTGAAAAACCAATTGATTATATTTTTCTAGTAGGCTACCTACTGTTTAATTTGTATTTGTCATATAATAATTCAAACAATAAAAAATCGATACTTAGCACTGTGTGACAATACAATATTACCAAACAAATATATTGTGATACTTTGTTGTATCCATTCATTCGGACCAAAGAGTAATGTGAAAGTCAAGAGCACTCAAGAGCAAAGTCTGGGGACCAAACTGTATAGCACACTGATTAGCAAAATAAATAAATAACTCGCTAGACTTAAAGCATTGTCCTCAGTTGAATGAGGGATCTCTAACTGATGATGCTAATCTCTGACTTTCATGGGGCAGCCCTTGTATTTACAGACAAATTTTAATGTCATAGAACATAACCTGAGAATCTCTTAAGCTTGCGTTAACCAAAGACCTTATTTCAGGCATCTAACAAAAAACACAACTGACATTGACACAATGGAACCAAGGTGCAAAAATGCTAACTCATTTCCAGGTTTTAGGATTCAGTCCAGCAGCACTTAATGAATTCAAGTTACCTCTCTCTGTGTTCTAATCTGAGCTTCTCTGTCCGATGTTGTGGTCAGGCCACAGGTGCATGTTAGTACATGCCAGTCCCTGTGTGTGTATCCCACTGGCTAGCTAATTGCCACTACTCTGCATTGCACTTATACTGCAGGTACCACTGATATCAGGATGTCCTCATTGCAGATGTGTAGTGCCCATTCTCTGGTTCCTCCCAAAGTTAACAATACTAGCTCTGTCAGCACTGTTGTTGTTGTTAGCATTATTTATTAGGTTAGCTTAATTAGCTGCAAGCCACTAGCTCAGACACACTCCATGTCGAGAACCATGTGCATTGTGCAGACAATCCTGCCCCAGACTTTAATTCATAGATGTGCTTTGAATATTGTGTTGAGCTCCCTTAAGCCGATATGTTGCTTACAAGGTGCATAGTCAATAATCAATTTGTATTTAATCAAATATGCACACAGCAGTGGAGCCAGGATGTATACACTGAACAGATGGGAAAGTGGTTAGTGAAGTCACACTTTGGACACTACATGATCTTTATTGGCTGTAAAGAGAGAGAGGGGAAAAAAGAGCTCTTAGGGAGAAAGTGAAATAGACTAAATTTGAAAGCCGTCTGGTTGTGGGCCAGTTTGCGTTACTGTATACTGAAAAGTGTTTTCTCCAAGGGAGACTACTGATGATCGGCCTGACAGTCAGTGTGTTACAGTACATGCTCACACAGCTGTTTCTACCCTTTCAATATTCCACGGAGTCAGGTCGATGATTGTGCTGCTGATTGATACTCAGTTACAATGATGTCAATCACTCAACAATTGCTGTATGAATGAATAAATAACCGGACTTGGATATAAAAAGTGCACAATTTATGAGTTTTACAGCACTTACCTGTCAACTCCCCCACACATACTGTCCCCTGAGAATGCAAAGAGCCCAGGACAGCACTAAACCAGATCCTGGGATTGATGGAATTATAGTTGTTATAAAATGAACCATAAGTCAAACCCACGCAACACTTAGCGGGGTGACCTCCGCTGACTGATGTTAAATATCCCGACACACCAGGAGCGCTGTTATGCAACAGCAGTCTTTACATCCGTCTGGAAATGAGCCCTGTTCGCCTTTGGATGTACCCTACGGTATTATGTGATGAATATTTCAGATTGGACATGAGAATGTTTAAAGTTCAGCATGCAGCAATGTTTGCCTCAGTGTAGGTGTGCTATTACATAAGAGGGAGAGGTGAGAGCAGGTCTAATCAGTTACTGTGGAGCTGTCTGGAGGTGTTGTGTGCCTAATTTCACCAAACACCTGTTGAAGGACTGTTTTCCCGATACTCATGGAATATATTTCTCAAGGGATTGTTAGTCAAAAATCCTGTCTTTTAGAGAGCTCTCTTGAAACGTTTTACTCATCTGAATCTAAATGAACACTTTTCGCAAAGACAACTGCAAGTTTCCAATCAGCAAACGCAATCCTGGCAATGTCCGAGTCACATAAAACATGCTGTTAAATTTTCTCTCCGGGATAAACGCCAAGGGTAAAGCCTCACAACAAATGCCTCAAGGTTAAATCCAGGTTATTCAAACCTGGTAACACTGCTGCTGCCACAACTTTTCTGACATCTCAATGAAATGCCGAAATACAAACTTTACAGAAGGAACCACAACTTAAAAGTGTGATTTTTTTTCTCTCTCTCTTCTGTAGATTGTAAATCCAAAATTGTGCAAGCTTCATGTTTTCCATCCAAACTGGCGTTATGACAGAAAAAAATGCTGTGTTGCCACATCAGGGCTATCCTATAATACAATATTGATCTCTTTGGGAAGGTTGGAGGGAGCCCAGGGGATATGATGTTTTTGGTCAGTAATCACCCAGGTGATGACCCTGCTCAGAGTGAGGTGTGCGTTTACATGGTTGTAGTGTTCGTGTGTGAATGTGTGTGTACATATGGAGACTCAGCATCAGAGGATGATAGCAGGTTTTTGTACTAATGAGCAGAGCTTTAAGTCTTGAATCGGATCCTCAGAGAATTCTCAGCTGCCATTAAGTGACTTTAAAACACTGCAGTTGCAATCTGAGTGCTAGAAAGAGAATATGGAAACCATGACAACAGATTGTCATTATGCATGGTGCCATCATCATCAAACCAGAAAGCATGGCAGTGTTATCCTTCATCCATAAGCAGTCCTAATGTTAAGATATATGACTATCCTAACAGGAAGTCCCTTTTTAAGTATTTTGTGGCATGGCAGCAGGGGAAACTCCCAGTGGTATGTATGACAGAGCAATGGAATACACACCTACATCAACTAACTGACTGATCTCTGTGTCTGATTGTTCACTTACAGAAGGAGCTGCTTTCGTCCTTTGTGCCTTCCATGGTGCCATCCGGCAGCATCTGGAGGTAGAAGCCGTGTCTGCAGTAAAGCCGCGTGACGATGCCCTTCAGCTGGGGCTCTGCAGAGCAAACACAGGGTTAAACACACCTTAGCATTCAGGAACACACACACACACACACACTTGGCAGTGCACGTATATTAATGCACACACCTATGTCAGCATGCACATTGACTAAACAAGAGGCAGGTCTTGATATTTACACTGTGAAATAGTCAAACAGTGCGGTGTGTGTGCTTGCATGCATGTGTCACTGTGGCCTTCAGCAGGATTGATGGGATCCCGGTGTCTGCTAAAAAGAAGCATCCTTCATGGAAAAGTTCAAGTGAGGCGAGCGAGACGTTTTTGCATACTGTGTGAATGAGTGTGTGTTACGGGTGGGTATTTCCATATATGAATACTCACACTAAATTATACAGTACTGGAGTACTAGCAAAAAAAAAATCTGAAGGAAGAATTAGAATGTAAATTGGCCAACAAAAAAAACAAGTGCAATTTGAAACCAATTTATTAAACAACTGTGCATCAATTAGTCTATTAAACAAAAAAATAATAATTTGACATGACAAATCAGAAAACTTTCTGTTGCTGCCATTTCATACACTGTAAAAATAAACTGTTTTTAAATGAAAAAACTTACTGTCTTGGCTGCCTTGAAATTTCAAGTTGATTGAATATGAAAACACAAATTCTATTTATTACAAAATTACCTCAATTTGTTTTCTCAAATTCAGTCAACTTAAAATGTCAAGGCCGCTTGGACACCAAGCTTTCCAAGTTAAGACAGTTTCTCTTTACAGTGAAGGTAATAATACGCAGCACTGAAAGACCTTTTCCAGAATCCAGAGCCACTCTCCTGATCAGTTCAACATCTGTTTGGTTAGCATGAGCTAACACACTAGCAGCGGCTAACATCCAACACAGAGCCATTTAATGGTCCCAACAAACTGATCAAGATGTTAAGGATGTTTTTACGGAGAGCCAAATTATCTACAGAGGTCTCTTCCTCTCCAAAACAAACCGACCTGGTGATGTAAAACGGTAAAAATACTGAATAAAGCAATGTCACGTAACAAATCAGTGTTTCAACGCTGTTTGTTTCGTTGCAGTGGGACTGTTCACAACAGTAGTAGTCACAAAATTGCATATGGCTAATGTTTAGTTTGTCTGTTCTGGGCCACTGTATAAACATGTCAGCACAACATGGCAGACTCCGGGGATGAGGACCTGCTCACTATGTTGATATTAAGGGCTCATTCTAAGACAAAAGCATGAAGATTCTTATTTCCAGGTGATCATACACTAAAGAAAACATACTTATTATATTCCATCTCTGCTAATATATCCCCCTACATCTTACACACTGAACCTTTCATACTTAATATGTGTACCTTCACAGAAAGTGTTGCCCACAGATTTTATATGAGGTCACAAGCCAAAAAGGTTAAGGTCACTGATAAAGTAACAAGGACCTATGTCCTTTAAAAATAAATGTAGGGTTATGACATTTACAATATTTAAAGGTGCGTTAAAGTAAAGTGCTACTGTAGAAGGAAGACTTTTATTAGCCTTTGGTGTAATCATATTTGTTAAGAGAAAATGCTTGTATTTGGTAATGTTTTATGTACTGTTAAATGTTGTAAAATGTGGACCCCTATGACTTTAATTTAATATGAATGTTTGCCTTTTTGGATTATTTGTTCACCATGTAGGCATGTGAGAAAAAAAAGTTTTTCATTCAGGGGGTAAACCTTTGTCGTAGCTGCCTGAAATTATGAGCCCACCAGCTCCCCGTAGTCTAACCACAGTGTCTTACACAAAGAACAGGGTGCTGGGGCGCTGCACATGAACTAAGCAGAAAGCTCAATTTCCTGCATGTAAGATGGCAAAAACTCAAGAAACAAACAAGAACAACTTACCCGCCATACTGAAAGTTTAATGAACCATCTCCTATCATCTGTTTACCCTGCTCTCAAATACCAACTGTCGTCATTTACTCAGTGCACTCCGAGGCATCAGACTACTATTTGTTTCGGTGAACCAATCAGACATTTTCATCCGCCGCCGCTCTAGAGATTGGCGTGTCTTCCTCGAACCTCGTGTTTGTGTTGAGTTTCTTTTCTCAGGCACGCATGACTGAGGGGGCTCGTTCACTCCGAAGTGCTGAGGGAGACTAAATAGTGGATCAGAAGGAATGTCAGAATGCTGAAGTGTTTCCACAATCAAGTTTTAATGAGATTCATCAAATATGGATGAGGACAGAGAAGTACGGGGGCAGCTGGCAGTTGGCCCTTGGTTGACAGCAGGGGTGTGAGAGAGAGAGAGAGAGAGAGAGAGAGAGAGAGAGAGAGCGAGAAAGAGAGAAAGAGAGAGAGAGAGAGAGAGAGAGAGAGAGAGAGAGAGAGAGAGAGAGAGAGTATAAAGAGACACGCACTGCAAAATCCATCCTTACATTTACACTCCAAAAATTAATTATATACAGAAAAAAGATACAATTTCCCTAAAGCCAAGAAAATACTTACTTACATAAGTGCTACAATTTCACTACAGCCAAACTTTTTTCCCCAATAATTTTAAGGGCATGAGGGTTACAAAAAACAATTTAAAAACTGAATTAAATAAAGCAATGATACTATAATTAAAATTCTTACATGTGGATAATTCGAACACACCTCCCAAGATTAGTGTCACCAACTTAATATTCAACTAAATGTCTTCCCTTCTGTTCCTGGGTCATGACACGGAATAATGCTCAGAGATGTGTTTTTGCAGAGCATTATGATGTCACACTGAAGTTGACCTTTAACCTTTTGGATATAAAATGTCATCACTTCATCATTTTATCCTGCTAGACTTTTGAGTGATGTTTCATTATAATTAGCGTATGGATTCCTGAGTTATGGCAAAAAAATGAGTCCAAGTCTCAATGTGCCTGATGTCATGACATTTACTCCAGGCACTCCTGAGATACCGCATTTACAGGAAGGGGATGGATGCAAGGTCAGAGTGACCTTTCAACACAAAAATCTAATCAGGTCGTCCTTGAATCCAAGCAGATGTTTGTACCAAATTTAAGGAAATTCCCTCCAAGCATTCTGGGGATAGGAATTCCCGAGAATGGGATAGACTTACAGACATACAGAACACAAACTGTAAAATAAACAGATGCAACTACTGTGACATCACCCATTGCTTTGTGGACTCCTGTTTTAAAGCCTTAGGTTTGGCATTTTTGCTGTTGCCATCTTGGTTTTGTGAAGCCAGAAACACTTCATACTACATTTCCCATAAGGCATCTCAAATAGTTTTGTTTTGCTGTATTCATGTTGTAGACATGTTGGCCTCATGGGAAACCAAGACAACCTCATATTACTTCTATAGTGTAGATGACCTGACATGACTCTGACCAAATTTGGGTAGGTGAGGAGAAGCAATTGCTCCTAGGACTGGTTATCTTAATAACAGAAAAAAACAGCAGCTTAAGTGACAGGAAAAAACCTTTTAGTGTGTGTATAGGAAATCTTGTAGGTGTGTCAACTGATAATGCCTGTTTGTCAGACACTATAAATTGTCATGATGTACTAATTCTTTGTTTTTCTAGCATATAAACCCTCAAATGTCCAATCCTGTATTTAAAGTCTCTTTATTCTAAAACACTTCAACACCCCACTTCACACAGAATTCTGAGATGGTTAATCCCAATGTAGGACTCATTTCAGATAAATAGAACTCAGCCTAATTAACCAATTTTTTAATGTGTTACCAATGACTGTATATAAAGGTGGATGACGCATCTCTACCTCCTCCCACTGCACAAAAAGAGAAGCCAAAATATCCCAAGTACGGCCGCTGCCATGCACTGGTGACACCATTTGGAGCCAGAATCTGCACAGTAGCAATCATCACGGTATTGTATAACGTTTTTGCTGTCCCACCAATCGTGAGCAGCACTATTAAACGTGAGCACACTGATTGGCACACAGAGCTGTCAATCAGAAAAATGAACACTTGAACATACAGCAGCATGATAAGAACCGCCTAAAATGACAGAAACCATCTCTGGGAAATCATTTTGACATGTACTTTAAGTTAGGTTCATGTCACATTGGTTAGAAGGGGCAGGATTTATGGCGTGTACTACAGCCAGCCACCAGGGGGCCATCGAGATGGGTTTTTTTTTTTGTTGTTTTTTAAATCTTTTTTTTTTTTGTTCAAATACATACTCATCAGTCTCATCAATTTGACAGGATTTTTTTCAATTTTAAGAAAAGGTCACAGAATGTTAGAGTAAAAATATTACATACTCATTCTACTTTTTGTCATTGCAAAGCTTACACATTTATCTGTGAACCTCAAAAAGTTTAATTGAGGCTCATTAGGGTTTGAGTTAAGCTTTGATGTCTGTGAATTAGTCAAAGAAATGCTGGTGTTTAATCCTCCCTTTCATGCTGACAGTTGTGACACAACATGTTTGGAAGCTTTTCATTGGAGGTTCTGGCCCTCAGCAGCGAGATTGGGTCGCTGTAACTACTGAAAGATAAAAGCTCATCCATCCATCTCTGGCTGACTAGACACAGCAGGTCAAACGTGGAGTGTGGTAAACTGTAATATCCTGAGTGTTAATCCCAAATTAAGCCTCAGACCACACATCAGGCCATGTGCCGCTTAACACATCTGCCACAGTGCAGAGCCGAGCAACAAACGCACACAGAGGGCTGATGTTGACCTTTAGTGTGACTCCTCCTCCACATGTCCCTGTTTGGTAACGCTGCTGTGATCCAAAACATGCTGCTTGGAAATGCAAGACTACTGGTGCATGTACACAGCCTTCACAACACTCACATACACACACACACACACACACACACACACACACACACACACACACAGCATCTCTTATTTAACTCATGTAGAAGCAAAGGCTAAAAGCAGGAACTGCCTTGAGTCATACCTGAGGCGATATATTAGTTAAACTATTGGTTTAAATGCACACACAAACACACACGGACAAAGTTCACTTGTATAATGTGACTGTAGGTCCAGAGTGAAAATTTCAAAAA